AAATCATCATAGTCCGGCAGGGACTCATCCAGCTCCAAGCACACCTGCTGGCGTGCGAGCATAAAGGCCAATTGTTTCTGCATTGCTGGCTCCTTGGGCTCCTTAAATATTTCGCTAATCTTGTCCATCTCGTTTAGCATAAGGGCCAGCCTCATGGCCTGCGTGTGCTGGTGAAACTTCCGGGCCAGCTGCAAAGCGGTCTCTAGAATGATCGTGTTGTCCGGCTCGGGCACGTAAGGGTAGCAGGACTGCAGATACAGACAAACACGAGGATAGGCGGACTCATCCACATATTCGGCCAGCAAATGCAAATGATCAATCTCGATGAGCAAATCGCAGGCATCGGCCTCTGCATTATGCTCCATATCGTATGGAATTATCTGCTTAACCAACTGGATAAGCTGAGTGCGGAACTCACCGGTCGTATCGTGATAGTGTGCCGATATTTCGCCAGACAAATGGCGCACATATTCGTGACCCCAGTCACCAATGGCCTGGGTGCGATCGCACAGGAAACGATAGGCCAGACAATCCTTGCCGCTGCCCATGGTCATGGAGAGCACTGAGATGATGTCAGCGCACAGCTGGCGCGAGCGTTCATCGGGCATATGCTTGTACACCTTCTTCATGGTCTCATAGTGCGGACGCATGAACTTCAGCGGCTTGGGCACCGATGTCATCGAAGTCGTTGAAGCGCGGATCAGCTTGGCCATCATTTCGAGCGCTGGCTGATACATTTGCTTGTCTTTTTCCTGCAAACGCAACACCAACATCTCCAACTCTTCCTTCAGTTGTTGGTCCTCATCGGACAGCTCAGGCTGCTGATCTTTTTCATCCTTTTTGGTCTTGCCAGCTTCATTTCCCTTGCCTTTAAGTTCCTTGGCATCGCCAACAGGCTTTTTCTCCAGCTTGGTTTCACCAGTCATGCTGTGTGAGCCCTTTCTTTAATTTTACAAATATAAAAATGTATTTTGTTAATATCTCGGCGTTCACTTTTCTCCACTTATTCTCTTTTTCTTTTCTTTACTACTCAGCAGAATTACAAAGCGCTTTTTGAGCTGTCAAAAGCATGAATTGCCAACTATTTTATATTAGTGATGTGTAAGAATCGAAATATCATTGTTTGACAGCCGCAATATTTATCGATTCTTTCGATTTATTGCCACGCTAAAATGCATTTTACAGCACTGAGTTTACTTTTGAAACACATGTTTTGATTCACTTTTGCGGCATTTAGTGGAAAAAAATGTTGCGAATTACACAAACTAAAAACACGCTTCTCGATGGCGCTACTATAGCAGATCAACTATATGCGACACCTAAGGATTGTGAAGATTTCTTTGAAAGCATTGAAAAACCCACTCAAGTTGTTCCTGTTCCACGGTCAACCTGTGAGTATCCCGCCCAGGGTACAGCTTTCTTGTTTTATTTACCAGCTTATCCCGTTTACAGTTATACGCGCTGGCGTTCTAACAACAGTTCGCGGCTCCGCGTACATGGAATATGGCAATACTAAACTGATGGCCATTGTAGCGCCGCCGCGCGAATTGGTTCGTTCAAGTGCTCACCGTGTAAGCATGGGCGTCATCAATTGTTACGTGAATTTTGCAGCCTTTGCCACTGGGGACCTAGAATCAGTACCAGAGCGTGAGAAACATTTGGGCAGCATGCTAACAAAGGCACTGGAGCCGCTTGTCTGTCGCAATGAGTTCCTCAATTTCCAGCTAGACATTCGAGTGCTTATATTGGACGACGACGGCTGCCTGCTGAGCACCGCCATCAATTGCTGTGGCGTTGCCCTCATTGAGTGCGGCATATCCACATACGATTTGATTACGGCATCCACGGCGTGCATCTATCGTGGCTATGTGTTTATCAATCCCACCGCCAAGGTTGAGGAACTGCTCTGGCAACATCGAGGTGGCAATGCTTTGCTTGGCAGCAGCAGCGCGAGCAGCGTCAAAGATAATGATATACAGGAGCATGGCTTGCTTATCAATGCCAGCATGGATAACTTTGAGCAGCTGGCACAGTGCCAGCAGTGCGGCTACCTTAAGCCCGAGACCTACGTACGACTGCTCGACTACACGCTGGAGATCAACAAATCGCTGAGACATCTGATTCGACGCGTGCTCAGCGACCGAGTCAAGGAACAGCACCTACTGGACATGCGGGAACAGGAGGAGGAGCGTCTGGAGGATAAGCGTCTCGCGGCAATTATTGAAAGGCTGAAGCAACAGGGTCTCCATGAGTTCATACAATCCAATATTAAGGAAGACCAATATACAAAGAAATAAATGATGCGTCTAGTTTTGTACATAAAACTGAATGTTTATAATTTTAAGCTTATCACCTAAACTTGTAACAAATTTTGTGGCCTAAACAGCTGCGTTGTAATATTGTTTACAAGCACATCAGCACTACTGCTGATCTGTGGAAGCCTCCAGCACGGCGCCGGAGTAGGCCAAATCCCAGTAGTGTTCAACCTGATGTTTTTGAAAGAATTCGCGAGCCATTTTCTCCATGGGAAAGATTTTGAACTTGATTTCACCGAAATGACGGCGCTGACTTGTACCTTCCCAGACGAGCACACATGAGTTGGGAACATCCTGGCCATCGTTGCCATTTACCATGTCCTCCTCCCACTTAATGCGATGCAACATAAGCCGGCGGTATTTCTTCTGCTGCTTGGGCCCACCCTCGACGACAACGACGCAGCAGTCACGGAATAGGACGACGCTGCCGGTCATTTGCAATTGCTTGGCATTTGTTTCGACTTTGAACTTCTTGCTTTGGTTATCCTGCAGATCGCGTATACGATAGACGCTTACGTGGACGCCGCAGCTGGTGTCCTCCTTCAGCTTCCGCTGTTTCTTTTCACTCTTCTGTTCGCTGGTCAGTTTCCGTGCGTTGTTGGCATCCTCGTGCGCCTTCTGCCGCTTGGCCATTTGTTCGCGCACATGTGCCTCGATTTTGGTCGGGTCCTGCACAGCGTCTGTGCCCAGCACACGCATCAGATTCGATATACGCAGCTTTGGCTCTGGTGGCGCCACCAAACCCAAACGTATCTTTTCCTGCTCTTCTTTCCAGGCTTCACGTCGATTCTGTCGACGCAGCTTTTTGCGTTCCTTTTTAGTAAGAAAGACGGGCAAGTAAACAGGTTTCAATGGCTCATCTGTGAATGGGAAGGATATTAATGATATCAGCTACAAAGTTTTGGCAGAACCAAATGGCTTGATAGTTTGAGAAGTTCTACTCACTTGGCGGCTTCATTTGTGTGGGATGCTCGATAAGATTACTAATGGCAGTTTTTCGAATGCTGATCTTGCCACTCGTCTCATCCACTGTCTGCAAATCCTGCGTGAGTATGACTGAGTCCCACCACTCCATAGCCGGCACATCATCGGGCATATCTTGCTTGGGAGCAATCAATGCCAGCTTGGTTGCCGATGAAATGCCCGTCTTCCGGGCTATTTGGGATATCTCGTTTTGCAGCCGTTCCAGTTGGCTCTTCATGCGCATACGCTCCGCCAGCTGCTGGAATTTGCCGGGCTCATGGAAGCGCAAGGTGCGTTTATTCCGCACTATCGGTTTTTGGGCAATCCGATCATCAAAATATTTAATGGCCTCGTCCTGCCCAGCGCTAGCTGCACCGATATGACTGCTACCTTCGCTGCCCGTTGTTTGGCGCTGGAATACTTCGCGCTTCTTGGCGCGTATATTCGCCTTGAGCGTGGGCGTCACTGTAGGTATATTGATGGCACGTCCGCTCTTGTCCACTGTTCGTCCCTCCTCATCTAGGATTAGGGGCTTGGGCCGTTCCTGCTGCTGTTGGGCAGCGGCAGCAGCTGCTGCCGCCACTGCTGTTGGCTGTTGTTGGATGAGATTGGCCAGATTTCCCGTTAGTTTTGCCCTTATTTGAGCTTGCAGTTCTGCAATCTTTTTGGCCTTTTCCGCGTCTTCAGGTGTCGGCTTCTTGGATAGAGCCTGGGTGGCCAGCGCAACTGGCATTCCTATCTGAGGCACAGACGCCAACAAAGGATCCTTATCACGCAGATTGCTAAGAGCACGTTTGCGCTCCTCGATCTCGCGCTGCGCATGCGCCATCATCAGCTTGATTTGTGTGGAGCTCAGCGAGGAGGCCATCGCATCGATGGGCGGCGCTCCACCATTCTTCTCCTTGACATCGAATCGTGACTTCTTTGGCACCGCATCGACGCCGACGTCTGGGCCAGCAGCGCTGCGTTTGGTGGCTGTAGCTGAAGCTGTTTTCGATTTCTTTTCGTCGGCGTCGGCGCCTTCTGCATCCTTGCGCGTTATAATGGACGACATAATATTCGCAATTAAATTGATCTGGCTAAAGACGTTATAGTTATTTACCAAAAAACTTTGCACATTCCGCTTTATCCGCAATGCTTTTTTTTATTTTTGGTATAGAGTGTTTATCTGCAAAAACGTTTACGTGAAAATTTCTTTGGCAAAAAGACAGGGTTGCCCCATTCTTCTTCCGACTGGCAGCAAGAGCTGTTGTGTTGACGTTTGAACTAGTTTAATCGAACTATTATCAAGAAATGAACTGCACATTTTGATTTAGTAACATGGAAAATACTTTAAAGACATAACATAACATTGACCGCCAATTTAATAAATAAGGTCTGCCTTAATAAGGTTTTCAGCTTACTTACTGTTGCAGTTGTTGCAATTGCTTATTCAGAATTCTTATCGATAACAGCTCGTGGATTTAATTTTCACCGCTATACGCCATATTTTTTGAGCGAACCAGAGTCCCCGAAGTTATCGATTGTGGTTCAATCGTCTATGTTACACTGTTTTCTAAGGTATTAGAACTTGTTGTGTTTCAATAAGCCAGTTTAACCTTTATTTTATTTGGTTTCTCTTCAAATCAAAGTTGAGTTTTGTTATGATACTATTTTTACGAAAAAAAAAAGGTTAACTATCGATACTCTTAAAATATCGATAATTTCCCATCTCTATAGAGAAGCGTTTCGTATATTTTTTTCTCGTCGTGTCTGTGTGTGCTTAATTATTTGTTGTGAAAATTAGGCGCTTTTATTGTGCATAAAACGGTAAAAAGTTGCATTTAACTGCAAGCATGGCATCAGAGGAAGAGAATGACGATAATTTCCAAGGTGAGTGCAATGTTTTTATCTGCTTTTTGTTATGCTGAAAATTTTTCGGCAGAACCTGAATACCAAACCGTGGTCATGTTCAAGCGAGCAGCAGGCGTCAGCGGCTGCCGACGGTGTCTCGTTGCCGCTGCCGCGCTTCGTTCATTTTCTTATTATTGTTTTCATTTGCTTTTGTTGTGATTCTCTATTATCTACATTAAAGAATGATGTTTCGTTTGTTATAAAGGCATATTGTTACATATTTTTGTGAAATTTTACATATGACGCGCGATATCTTCCATTTTTTGTCTCCGTCATTCTAGACAAATTTATTATTGCATTTTGTGTGCCGTGTTTCGCAAATGCAGCTCCGATTCGATATATAGCCATCTCGCTCGCACATAAATAGTGTTGGCGAGCACAAAACATATGTTTTGCCGTCTTGTTTTGCTCGTTCTTTCTGTTCGAAATTATGGGCGCGCAATAGGAAGAAAAAGTGTTAAATAAGAAACAATATAAAAATGGCGATATATAAATATATTAGAAAAGATAAGACTTATATTTATATTAATCGGGTGATTGATATTAAATATGTTTTTGCTTTTCGTAACTAGAAATGTGTTTTATTATATGACATTGAGTCATTTTTGTCTATACCAACTGATTATTTATACACACACTTATCACTTATATTATAATATTTTCCATCCTTACAATATAATACTTAATGGTATATTGAAAAATCTTGTATTCAGTTGTAATTCTTGTTAAAGAGAGCTCTGATTGAAAAACAACCGCTCGTACAATTAAATGTGGCACTAAATAATACCAGCTATATGGGCACAAGTGTTTGCATTTATTTGCAAATTATTGGTAATTTTGATGTTAAGTGCAATATAGTTAGCTCGCTCTATACCATATAATTTCATATAGGGGAGAATATATATGTGAAAAATTCGTGTGTACACACTGCACTTGCGCGATGTCGGCAACACTCGTTCACTCTCGCAGCTCACAAACGCACTCGCAACCGCAACCAACGATAACGCCGCGTGAAGTGGGCTGCTTTGGAAATTTTACGATTCATTGTTGCTTGGACGTGGCAGCCATGACGTGATTTCTGACTTTGACTAAGAAAATTTTTTGTTAAAATTACATTTGTAAATTATAGAAAATTAACTTAAGGGGAATACGTGCATTATTAAGCCAGCAACAAGAGCTCAATTAAGTGTAAAATTAAAAGTGTGTGAAAACTATTGCAATTTATACAAAAAAAAAATATTGTGTAAGAAAAATTGAGAGAAATAATAATACATACATATTCACATACATATGCATATGCAAAATAAAATTAAAATGTGTCCAATATGGAAAATATTAAATTCATATTCTGGTTTCCGCTTCTTCCCGTTATGTCGTGTTTTACTTTGTTGATTGATTTCTCCACTTTTGGGTCTCGGTCGGATCGACGTTTAATCTATCCGTTTAAATGTGACACAGACAGTTGCCACCATTTACATTTACAGTCGCCGTTCAATATCATTAACGTAGCCGTGTATTATATTTTATTTAAGTGTATACATATGTACATACATGCAAATACATATATATATATATATTCTGTCGTCTGCTTGCTTGTGAGAGTTGATTCGCTTGTGTGCGGCAAGAGCAGCAGCTCCCTCGCAGTGTGAGGAAGCTTACGTACATACATTTGTATGTACGAAAGGTATATATATGTGTATGTGGGGTCTGTATATACGTGTGTTATGCACGCGCGCGCTCCAGCAGCACTCGTCCTCGTCGTCGTTGTCGTTGCCCTGTCTCGCTCACGCTCGTGCTCAACCACCAAAAACGTCAACCAACCGCTCTCTCAACGTCGTCGTCGTCTTGTCGCCGACGAAAATCAGCCGCTGTCGATATCGCCAACACCACCGCCGCCGTCGTCATTATTTACGCGATTTCAATTAATTTATAAATAATTATACTTCCAACAACAAACACATGAATAAATCGTCAGCAATATCAAGTTTTGTGCATGTATAACAATTGCAAAAAAATGCTTCAACTTTAAAATAACAAAAAAAAAAAAAAAAAAAAAGGCGAACATACACAGTAAGCAACAGAGGGTGGTAGAAAAGAGAACGAAATTCGATGGAATGTTGACAACAACAACAACAGAACGACGCCGGTTCGGACAAATATAAAAGAATAATAATTCAGAGTATTCTTTTCGCTCAGTAGCTGACGTTTACTATTCAAATGAATTTAGAAGAAAAACAAATGCCATCAAACGCTGTTGCATTCAGCTACGAATGCGTATGTGTAAATATGTCCTAGAGATTGTATGTGGGCAGCAATTTTCCATTTCTAAATTGGACGTGGGATGTGCGCGCACATCACTTTGTTGTTTTTGTTTATAGTTCTATCGATTAAATGGCCACCTATCGATAGTCGGTCTATGCAAAATGTTGAAATTTATGTAGGATTACTTCTAATAACAATAACAAACAGTGCAGTCGCCGTGACGTCAGTATATATATGTATGCTTGCTCTCTTTTCTCTTATTGAGTTGTCTCGCTTATTTCACAACTCGGCATTCCAACAGCTGTCTGCGCGCATTAACCTATGATATGAAAGGGGATTTTATATCGTGCAAGGCCTAATTCACGCCAAATGTAGCAAAAATAAATACAAATTAATAAAATAAAAAATAACCGACAGGTCTTTCACCAGCATCAATTTGTATGAATTTTGTGTATTTTCATTCATTATTATAATTTCTTGTTTCTCATCTGAACTGTTGGCTTTAAATAAAAAGAAAGTGCTTCTATTCTTTTTTTATTTTTATATTATATGCTTACATACGTTTTGTAAGGTTCAACTAATAGGTAAACACATTGATTTAACATTTCATAAATTACTGAAACGTCTAGAAGTAGGTGAGAGAAGGACTGACATCCGAGACAAAACATCCACGCGCCACTTACCAAAAAAGAGAGCGAAAGAAGATTGAGTGGTGGGAGCGTCTCATCGTGAGTGCAGTCTAGTTGTTTGCCGATATTGCTTAGAATATACACTGATACACATAATAATTAGGGGGAAAGAGAACAGCAAGCTCTCTCTCAGCACACAGCAAAATGTGAGTGTAAATGCAACTCCATATGCCAGGTGCCAAGTGCCAAGCGCTTTGACGCATGTAGTTGTTACTTATGTACTTTGTGCTTGCGTAGATAAGCATTCAGTGCACTTTTTGCTAAATGTTGCTGAATTAACGGAAAAAATACATACTAAATTAAAATATACAAAATGTTCGTTGATTTTATTCATATTCCGAGGTATTTATTGATTTAAAATCGAAAACAAAAGATCACGTTTAAGGTCAAACAGCCAAAGGTCATTTGGTTTTTGAATAACTTAAGATATCTTAAATTAATCCAAAGTGTAGGCATTTCGATATTCTTTTTGTTTCGCTAACCCAATTTCAAATGCATATCTCGATCACATTGCTGCACACACACGAAAGCAGCTTTTTTTCTTACCTACAGTGGCTCCAACGCCAAATCGGACAAGACTATTTATTTATTTCAATAAGTATTTTCTTTAGCAGTAAGTTAACTTTTTACCGTTTTCACATTTTTTCTCAAATCTATTATGTATTAGCCCCCTAAAACAAAAAAAAAAATTTTTAATTTCAAATGACAACATTTTTTTTATTTTAAAAAACTAACAACAAGTCCGATTTTGAGCTTCAACGCCAAATCGGACAAAAGAAAACTGCAAGAAAAAGATCCGTTATTTGGCGGAGATTTTCGTTTTTGTTTTGCTTATTGCGTTTCGTTATGTTCTCAAGCTCATAGGCGTACAGTAACACAAATTATTTTTGCGAAATGGCTCCACGTGGGAAGCAAACTGGTGTTGAGGCACGCCAAATAATATTAAAACTGCATTTTGATGGCAAAACTGTTAGAGAAATAGCAGAGCTGGTCGGAAGAAGCAAATCTACCGTCCATGATATCATAAAAAGGTTTCGGGAAGATGGAAGATTCATTAACAAAAGCCAGGAGGGAAAAAGAAAGCGATTAAACTCAAGGGAAGAGCGGTCGATTATAAGGGATATTAAGGTTGATCCCTTTAAAACCGCAAAGGAACTAAGGATGTCATTAAAAACAAACTTTGGAAAGGATGTGTGTGACAACACAGTGCGCAATACTTTGCATCGGTATGATTTGCATGGCCGAGTTGCCCAAAAAAAGCCTTATATTAGCCCTAAGAACAAAGCGTTTAGGGTAAAATTCGCGAAAGAGTACTTGCTAAAAACGGATGACTTTTGGAATCATGTTAGTTGGTTGTATATCATATTAAATACCTTTCTTTTTTTGCTAATTATCTTATTTAAAGGTGTTGTTTACTGATGAAAGTAAATTTAATTTGCATGGGTCCGATGGTAAGGTGTATGTGTGGCGTAAACCAAATACTGAGTTTGAGCCCAAGAACACAATAGGCACTGTTAAGCATGGAGGAGGTTCAGTCATGGTTTGGGGCTGTATGTCGAGTGCGGGAGTTGGCCATTTGCACTTTATTGATGGCATACTCGATAAATTTGGCTACCTTGATATTTTGAAAAAAAATGTTAAGCAGAGTGCGGAGAAATTGGGAATACTTGAAGACTTTGCTTTCTATCAAGACAACGACCCCAAGTACACTTCAATGCTAGCTAGGCTCTGGCTAATCCATAATTGTCCCAAATTGATCCAAACGCCTGCCCAGAGCCCGGATATAAACGTAATAGAAAATCTGTGGGAAATTTTGGCGAGGAAAGTTTACCAAAACCGGTATAACAATCTGGACCAATTGAAAATGGGATTACTTGCAGCTTGGAACTCCATAGAGCCAGAAATCTGCAAAAAGTTGGTCAAATCAGTTCCCAATCGCTTGCAGGCTGTTGTCGCAAACAAAGGTTTTGCAACAAAATATTAAATATTAAGTTTTTCTCTTATTTTTTATTAAAGTTTTCTTTTGTCCGATTTGGCGTTGAAGCTCAAAATCGGACTTGTTGTTAGTTTTTTAAAATAAAAAAAATGTTGTCATTTGAAATTAAAAAATTTTTTTTTTGTTTTAGGGGGCTAATACATATTAGATTTGAGAAAAAATGTGAAAACGGTAAAAAGTTAACTTACTGCTAAAGAAAATACTTATTGAAATAAATAAATAGTCTTGTCCGATTTGGCGTTGGAGCCACTGTACCTTTGTCATTTGTGTGTGGAGACACTGATTTTCTATAATTTGTATTTTCGCTCGCTGTTGCTGAGGGCCTCAACACACGCATTTACACACACACAAGCTGGTGCGTATGCATTTGTGTATGTATATACAAACAGAAAACTTGCATAAATCTGTTGAAAAAATATAAAAACTACAACAAAAATACCACCGTGGCGCCCCAACCAAAATTAAATTCAATACAAGAAGTGAAAGTATTGTATATATATACATATATGTGTGTGTGAGTGTATCGGATCTTACCTTGCTTTTGAGCATGCCAGAGAGCAAGTAGCAGCGTTGATAGTCATGCATTGTGATGCTGTCACGCTCGCACATATTGCATTTAATTATGCCAAAACAAGAAGCAGCCAACAACAAGTGGTATTATTTTCTGTCCATGTATTTGAGTGGTAAAGTTGGCATTTAAAAAGTTTACTTAAACGATCTACAATGTAAAATAAAAAGATGTTAAAACAACAAGGAACCTGCTAAGTTAATCTGAAAAATTACTAGTGGTAATTTGGTTTATTCCAAATCATTTTATTTTGTTGGAATTTCCGTCAAATATTTTATCCACACGTCCGTGTCTAGTTCAGAGAACGGCTCTCTCAACGATGCTGTGTTGTTGGGGATATTTCTCACTTGATTTTTAGTTGTATTTAACGCGAATCTGTATAGACTTGTGTGAGTGTATGTGTGCATGTAGTGTGCTTTGTGTCAGTTGCTATTGCTCTTAAATTGCTTTTGTATTGTACAAGTACACAAAAATACAGTGAGACAGACAGACGGATATTGTTGTTGCTTGTTGTGCATGCGAATGAAATCGGCAGCGTTTGACATTGATTACCGTAATACCTTGTATATGTATGTATGTACATATATTGTGTGTCTGTGCTTTGCGGTTGTTTTTTTTTATTTGTGCAACTACGCGCTGTTGTCTTTTTCACCTATTTACTGTAATTGTGTTGTTGCTCGATCACGAGCGGAGAAGGAGAAGGCCGTATCGCTTCTCGTTATATACATATGTATATATGTGTACGTGCACAGCAGCAACCATACATTTCTGTGTGTATGTACGTAAGAGTATTAAGCTACAATAGTGCTCTTTATTTTTGTTGTTTCAGTTGATTTGTCACAAATATTTATGTATGTACATATGTACACATACATACATCCATATGTGTAGCACATACAGGTCTCTCAACATGCTCTAATACTCAGTTTAACTAAATAACAATTGATATTTTGTAATGACATACGAACATTCTTCATTAATTATGTATAAATAGGGTATATTTAAACTATGATCGTTAATCGGAAATTCAAGAACTGTTATTTTAGATATTCATTGAAATTTGTAGATCTAGTTGAATATTAGTGTTAATTACATTCTTGTTAATAAACAAAAATTGGGTCAAGCAACGTAATAAGTCTCTCTCCCTGGACCTTGTTTTATCCTTAGCCCTCTGTAAGAGCAACAAAAAAGGTGAAAGTGAAGGTCATTAATGTTTGCATATGGGAATACTTATGCATTGACAGTGCAAGAGTAGAGTGCGAGTATGCCAAAAACTTCAAAATGATTATATTTTTATGTATGTATATATGGAAATAGTATACATATAATACATACTACTTATATATGTATGTGTGCCGGTGCCTCGTTCCCGTGGGCCTGTCTGCTTGACTATTTTGGTCGCCATTGTGGTTTTGCACGCTCTCACCACCTACATACCCATACTTACATACGGTTTTACGTATAATAAACGCGTTGCTCTCCCTCACAAATACACACACAAACACGCCCGCATTTTTGTTACGGGGAACTTTGTACATGTATGTCGCTGGAAACATGGTTTGTTGTTGATTTTGTTTTTAAATAGAACTTTGCTTAATTGGTTCAATAGTTTTTTAATTGGTATCATGTTCTATATAGCACAATTTTTGTATGGACTAAGACCAGCCTAGTTTATGTTTTTCAATTATTTCTCTATGTGAATAGGAAGGTGAGCATTTTTACCGTTATGGGTGTGTCAAACGCCAATTGATTGTACATTATATGTATATACACTTCATCAGTTTAAATTTCGCGATAAATTTGTTTGAGCTCGATTTTCAATACAATATACTATGTGTGCTATTTATTAATTTATTAGGACGGTATTCCAAACTGCCAGTTTGACGAGTGCTTCGAATTGTTAGGACTATGCATGAGTTTGTGTGTGCGCTTAAATGAAATATTGTGTCTGAGTTTTGATTATTGTAGTCCTTCGTTAACTTTGGCATAGTTTTATGTAGTCCACAATATTAAAATTTCCAGCTAAAAACCAACAACGAGCTTACAAGAGCTGGACTGTCGTCAACGATTGTTGTTGTTACTGTTATTTTTCGTGGTGCTCGGCCCTCGTTTTTGTAGAGCCACCCGACTTGTTACATATGGCGGTTGTTGCTGTTGTTACTGTTGCTGTTGCTGTTGCTGTTTCGCGGTTGGTTTAGTCATACACCCGTAGCTGCCTATAATGTTTATATAATTTTCGTATCTTTTTTTCCACTTGCATACCGAGGTTTCTTATTGGCTGTGTGCATTGTTGTTGTAAGTTGTTGTACATTGTTTTGGGTTGGGTTGCATTGCTTTGTTTTATTTAATTTTTCTGTGTGAAGCCCGGTATAATCGCATTTTAAGCTCACTTTTTGTAGTTTTTAATTTTCATTTTTGAAAATTAAAATTCGTATTTAGTATATTTTTAGTTCGACTAACGACTCGATTAACAACTTGTTATCCAAGATCTCTCAACTGTAAGTTTATTTAAATTTATTTTGTTATGTCTGAAGACCATTTGAGAACAGAAACATAAAAAGCAAATAATACGAAGGTCTTTAGCGTTAACGTTCTACTTTTAAAATTGTAGTACATGGTTATACAGACACAACAAATGGAAAACAATATAAAGCTCATTGAAAAACAAATATTCCCTAAAGACGAATACGAAATGAGTTATCAATAAGAATATGCTAATTATTAGCTTTTTTTTCGCTATATCGGAAAAAATAGCGTTTTGAAGATGCTTAGTCTATTAAACTTTGATCATATATAATTAACAATGTATATGTATGTATGCAAAATGCATTCTTATTTGGGACAGTAACAAACAACAAATAAATGTTTAATGGGTTTTGAAACAAAGTTGATTGTACGCTCAATTTGGCTGACCTTCAGTCATTTTAAAAGATATAGCAATAATATAATGCCGAATATAAAATGAAAAAATATTTGTATGTATGTATGTGTGCATATATATAAAATATGTATATGTATACGCAAGTATAGAGACAAGAAATTGACAACAAGCTAGCTGGCTGGGGGAATACCAGTCTCTGTGGCTCAGTTCAGTTAACGGCTGTATGTTGCTTTATTTCTGATTTTTATTTTGTTTTTGCTGTCTGTTTGGTGTCCGTTTTTAGTCCAGTTCCAAATTGCCAACGTCGTCGTCTCTGTCTCTGTCGTGGCTAGTCTTGCCTCTCGCTCTTGCTCTAATAAGAAGAAATAATCCAACTGAATCTGGGAAGACAAGTTTTTGAGAGCTTGCAGAGCTTTGAGCTTTAGTTCGCTTTGCCGCTCACTCCACTTAACAGACGCGAGAGTCGCTTCTTGCTCATTCGTTCACTTCTCTCTGACAGTAGCTATGACTTGGTTACGATTTGAGCCTTCTAGCTATTTTTATACCCTGAACCCATTTTCAATGGGAAATCAGGGTATAATGGTTTTGTTGAAATGTATGTAACAGGGAGAAGGAGGCGTGGCAGACCCCACAAAGTATATATATTCTTGATCAGGGTGACGAGCTGAGTTGATTTGGCCCTGTCCGTCTGTCTGTCCGTCTGTCCGTCTGTCCGTATGTATGAACGCGTCGATTTCAGAAGATATAAGAGCTAGAGACTTCAAATTTTTTTTAAAATGTCCGTAATTACAGCGCGCATATCAAGTTTATCATTAAAAATCGATAACTCATCCCGATATTTTTTTATCGATAAAAAACCTTATCGAAACCCAGTTATAAAATTATATCTTCTACACCTTTATTGCTAGAGTCTCCAAATTTTTAATGTATGCTTATATGCAATTTATACAATTTCGGTTTTTGTTAAAATTTACCCCCCCACCTCTAAATTCACCCCCTCACCCTCACTTTTGTAAAAAGCGTATTTCAAATACTAGAGACTTGTGCTTTGGCAATTACATGCATATTCATGTTATAATCATAATCTAAAAGTTTCATGAAGATCGTACGTCCATAAAAAAAGTTATTAAACAATTAAGTTCTCATAGTAAGCGCACACTGCAGCCCATGCGTGTTTATGCGTGGTTGCTTGTATGTGTATGTGTGTGTGTATGTGTGTGTGTGTATGGGTTTGTGTCTGTATGCATGTGTGTGTGTATGTGTGTCTTTATGCGTGTGTGTGTATGTTTACTTGTGTGTGCGTACGTGTGTGTGTGTGTGTGTGTGTGCGTGTTTCTTGTGTAAGCTGAAAGTCGCGAAAAAGTATTGAAATATCTATTGCTCCAAGGGTTCAGGGGATCTCGTAGTCGAGCAGTCTCGACTAGAGCTTTCTTACTTGTTTATTTTGTTTTGTTTTAATCTGGTTTTATTTTATTTTTTTACTTTTGGGTGTTGTTGCTGATTAGCATTCACATCTACCTAGCTGCGCCTATGTTTGTATGTGTCGAAGCGGCAGAAGATATCGATGGGCCGATCGATCGGCCAGCATTACGAAACAACAACAAATTGAACAATAATAGTAGTTTGCTGTTTTTTATATTAATTTTATTTAAGTCTTGGCTTTCAAGACAGAAAATAAAACCACTTAATTGGGAAACAAACAAGTCCATAAGCTTCGAACCAGTTGTCAACGTAATTAGTCTGCATTGACGCAAATATAGTAAATACCTTTATTATCATTTGAAAAAAATTTAGAGCCTTCAATTTATTCCGAATATACTCTTAGCAAAACTTATATTGTGAATATCAGCTGATGAATCTCATATACGATTACTGTCAATTTAGGTAACTGATAATAATATAAATATTCTTATATAGAGAGAGAAAGAAAAACAGAATATTCTGATTATATTAAATATACAAAATAAATATTAAATATTTGGTAAATTTATGAATTTAGATATTGCAAAAAATATATCTTTTTATAAACAGGTTTTTAAATTATTGTTAGCCGTTTTTAATGATTATAAAAACAACCACCTTCAAGCAATTAAAAAACTTAATATACGAAGCTTAGTTGAGCGCTCTACGTATCTCTCTCTTTTCCCGTTCCCGCTCTCTCTCTCTCTGTCTCTCTCCCTCTCTTAAGCGACAAGCACAGTTGCTCTTAAGTTTTCGGTACTTTTTTAATTAATAAGATTAGAATGTCCATTGGAAGAACTTCTTATCTTATCAAAATAAATGAAAAACTTAGTTTTGTGCCCATTCATGGTCAATGTTTTTCACTTTGATTATTTGATTATTTTTGTAAAATTTGTTGTTTTAGCAGGAAGACAAGAGGGAGAAAGCTGGGAAAACGCATTTCCGTTGTTTTTGTAAAAAAAAATTGCAAAAAATACAAAATTATGCAATGTCTATCGCGTTGTTGCCTAAATCGGTCATTGAACGTTTGTTCGACAAGTTCGAGAACGAGCCATTTGTTTTTTTTTTTTTTTTTTACTGGTGTTTTATTTTATTTTATTGCTCCGTGAGATCTTCCATATTGTGTGTTGGCTTGCGGGGGCAAATTCAGAGTCCGTTTGGGCCACAGTTCATTGTACGCCTTTGCTTTGTGTTTAAATGTACATATGTATGTGTTTTCACTTCCCTTTTTCGAGAGCGTGCTATGAAGTTTGTTCTTTGATAGGGCTTATACGATAAAAGTAAACTGTCTTAATTACCTTGGCCTTGAGCTTTGTTTGCAGTCTTGAGTAAATACATAGATTATTGTGTTCTATTTAAGACTAAATTTTTAGAATCCCAAGAAGTATATCTCGTAAATAAATGGGATTCACCTCGGGCTATAACAATGAATGATAATTTGAAACCTTTCAATTTTGATGTT